GTTTCAAAACTTGACAATTAGAGTTAGTAGAAATTCTTCAATCAGTGACTGTATTTTTGTAAGGTAGATTACGTACCTCCAAATTTTCGGTGTCGACTGTACGTATGTACACCTTGATCACGGAGTACAGTCGACACCCGAAATTTGGAGGTACGTAATCTACCTTACAAAAATACAGTCACTGATTGAAGAATTTCTACTAACTGTTAATTCTACGTGACTGATGAACCTCTTCAACGATATTGACAATTAGAACAAGAAGCCATAGGCAACAATTCTCCGTGAAGTATTATATATTGCAACAAAAAGAAGCAGCCATTGGCGACAATTCTCTGTGAAGTGTGATAAATCGAACAAAGAAAAATTGTTTAAACGCGCGTCGGCTCAGTCATCTTAAGACGCAACAACCAATCAGAGATGCGAAATGTCGACACGTGACGCGGGATTTGTATACAGTCTAAACAACGGGGAAGGGCGCGCGATGCCCGAAATATTTTTGCGTCAATATTCAGCGCCGTGTTTCAAGAGATTAATACCGGGAAACAATTTCTTTTCTTGTTTTGAACGCATAAACATGCATTTACGCTAATCTAGTATGATTCAGGGTTACTTTTTTTTACCTGCCAAGGCCAGATTATCTAAAGATGTGTGTATTGTGTGTACAATCTACAAAAAGAGAAATGTACATCAGGTCCGATCATCCGATTTTCACGTTTCGGTTTTTTGGACTCGGTTCATGAACGTATTTTGGTTGGGCTCCTGGAATGCGCGAATGTGCGAAAAAAATGACTCCCGGGACTGTCTACAGGGAACACTCGCATAATGCCCAACATTCGCGGTGTATCAGGACAGCGCGACTGGCCAAGCCAACCAGTCGGCATTAGCGCAGTCCCTGTAATTAGTAACAGTTGCACATCAATCCGGCCGAAAGCATGATTGTGTAACACAGGCTACTTCTTCATATACCGGCTCATACTATAAGACGCCTTTACAACTAGCAAATCATAAAACTACCCGATCTACTAGTTTGTGCGGTTTACCAGCCCCAGACCACATCCGACCACGAGGCAGAACACATTGATGGGTTGCTGAAAAATATTGTCCATGTTTACAAAGAGCTGCTCCACTAACACTATGGAGCGGCCCAACCCAAAAATATTGGCCATGTGTACAGTGAAGCAACCAGCATGCTCGTTGCTAGGACGAGCGGCCAGTTGCTACGTGACTAAATACACGCCGCCACTAGGTCGCCACAGCCGACCAGTTTGAAATCGATAGGATTACATCATCGGTATTTACATTTCGTAATGTTGACCTCTGACCACCCCACATTTCCGTCCCCATCAGCCTGACCGCCACTTATTAAGTACTACCAGTCACGGGCGAAAACATATTTCAACGACATGGGGATGTTTCGAAAATAACCATTTACTCCAATATCAAAACAGCTACGGTAAAAATAAAAAGACGTGCATCATCCCGGACATAATGCCACACCACATTACACAGAAATGCGACGTACGGAAGAATGAATCTTCCAAAAAACTTGGCATCTCTTAAGCATGGACAAAAACATCTGGAACCACTTATCAAAACCACCCCGTATCTGCATGAAGTTCCACCCCCCCACTGCTATTCCAAACAACGCGTTTTTCTGGACCATTCCAATTCGCCTCGTAATTGTAGGGGTGCGTCTGCAATATTACATTGACCGCGAAAGCAGCAACGGCAAAAATACACATTCGTGCATCAACACGGGCATGCCCGCAGACGGCGTATAACATTGCGTGCCGATTACACAAAGAGAACCCAGTGTTTTGACTGCGAACATGAAAAATCAGCTCTTCACAACACTCCGTCCGGAGGTCCTGACCTCCTTCACGGAGTAAAAATACGTTTTGTATCACAACCTGTACAACCTTATGTCGCTGATATATTTTCAGAAACTGCGTGTGATGTATCACAATTCAGCATGTATCTAAAGTTATATCCCCACAATTTCTGTGCAGGTGATACTTATTTCAATGATAGCTTTACTTTAATTTGCATTTTAACATATGGTAGTGTACATGTGGTAATACGTATATAATAGAACACTGCAGAGGGTCAGCGATATAATTATATGCACATTATAGAAAGAAGTTGTTTAGATGTAGTAATTTAGTTGTCAAACAGAATGCAAGATACACTAGTTAATCTAATAAATAGTTGCTTGCCGAATGGTCAATCTTTAACGTATAGCATGGAACATCAAACGTTGATGAATTCTTAGATAATATTATTTTTCTTATACTGCTGTCGGTGTCTGTTTCTATGTACATGCCTGTGTACCGATATCAGTAAAAATAAAAACGCAGCTAAAATATGCCATTGTCTGGAGAATTTATAGTCTATTTCACTTGGAGCATGTATTCTGTAGCATGTATGATGTGTATGATAGAATTGTCACTGCATATGCTGGTCTTTAGTTTTGATACTGCAATCTTCTTCCAGGGAAACATATAATTCAGCAATCTAACAGCATTAAAAACTAGAGTTCCACGACCTCATACCTTCGCCAAATGATGTTAGCCTTTATGACTAAGAAATTATAGATGAATCCCCCTGATTGTGCGAATAGGATCCTATATTGCATCAATTATATCTGTTGATCATATTCTACACCAGAAGACAGTCTTATCTTATCAATGCATGCCATTATAGCATGTCCTCATAAATTATGCAAATGAGGTCCTTATTTGAATAAATTATGTTTAATAATGTTCACCTTCACATAACTTTCAAATATCCCAAGTATGAAATTCCAGACATTACCACTATGTAATTATAATATTTTCTCGTTAATTATGCAAATTAAGTCTTCATTTGCATAATCGATATCTGCCTGTATTTCTGCCGTTCTGCATTACATATATTACAAGCTTGAATAGTCCTATCATGGAGTGCAGCTGATATATAGAATTTCCTCATTAATTATGCAAATTACATTAATATTTGCATAATTGTAATAACATTATGTCAAGCATAACTTCAGCTACCTACATGCCAAAAATCACGACGATCCATCAATCGGTTCTTGAGTTATTCGCCTTTAAACATTTTTCAACTAATGCCCCTGCAATTCCAGAGCAAGCCGCTAGGGGGTCCAAACTCACGTCACTTGTTTCCCAGCACAAGAGCTACCTACCATCAAAATTTCGTCACCCTAGCATGTCTAGATCACGAGATATCAAAACCGGAAGTTCAGCTGCAGTACCATAACAAGCCGTTAGGGGGCCCAAAATCTAATCAGTTCCACGTCTCATGAAGACCTACCCACCTACCAAGTATCAAGATAATCCATCTTAGCCTTCTTGAGTTATCGTGCTCACACACACACACACACACACACACACACACACACACACACACACACACACACACACACACACACGAACGCCAACGAAAACATAACCTTCTTGGCGAAGGTAACAACGGAATTGTTTATTTCGAAGGCTCATTTTTACTTTGTACCGAGTACTTTGTACAATGACTTAGGACTTTCAAACAAGTGTAGAAGCGGAATTTATTCTAACCTTATGACTTTTTCTGACTGATCTGACAGCTGCCTTTACATTGAGATAAATTTAGCTTTCAAACGCCGCCCTAGGTCATGACCTTCGGATCCCGATAAGCAAACTTCTTGATAGCGTCCCTTGTTTCTTTGCACACTGGCAGACACAGATAATACTACTCCTCGCTCTTATCGCTGATTGTCCCCGGTATGTGGTATGTGGTATACGTGTAATATTTGTGTTAAGTTGTTAATTGGGCCCAACAGATGCAAAATACAAATCAGCGCAGTCCCTTTTGAGACAAACATGAGGAAATAAACAAAATCGTTACATTTTCCTATCTGTATATAATACTGATCATGGATTGTGCAGTTGACTTGTTACCAGGTCAGGGATGTATGCATAGGTAGTCAATTTTGATGGTCACTCTAGTAAGACGATACGAGGTTTTACTTTTTGGCAGGTGTTTGTGTAGCTTAGCAGCACTTCGGATGTGGCAATACTATAGGCACAAAAAGATATCAGATACTTGGTTAAATTAGATTTCTGGTATTTGTAAGCAGCTTAACAAATTAACTGATAAAAATGTCAATACACTGAACTTCTTCAGACTTATACGGTGAATTCTTGTAGAATTGATGTTTTTGCTATGCTTAAAACACGTCACAAAGAATTAGTGTTTGTCACCTGCGGGTGTTGAATGGACCTCCTGACCCTTTCCTATTAGTAAGTAAACATAAAGTTTGATATAATACCGCGTCCGTGCGCCTGGTTACTTTGAGGTAGCTTCGGTAGCGGCAAACTGTTCTCTTAGCTCGGTCTAACTCCACTGGTATACCAATCTTTTTTTGGGGCCGATATTTACTCTTTTTAGCTGGACCCTGAAGACTGGTGGAGGCTAACTGATAGGTTCTGCAACCTGAAAGATGGATAACGCACACAAAGATATATTCCAGAAACATCGGAACAAAACATTAAAACAGAAATAGCATTTAATCAAAGACTAATTATTTCTTTTTTTTCCTAACAGCTGAACAATTTGCATAAATTGACAGTGAATTCATTTTGCATACAATGCTATACATCTGCAGATGTTTAACCTTGACCTTGAACTTTGCATAAATGATCCAGACGGCCAACTTATACTAATGGTGAATTTATCCTGATCCCATAGCATACTGATATGTGAGACAAAAGTGGGATGCTGCTGACAGAAAACGGTTGCTTTTTTCATATAGAATGCTAGGAATAGCAACTAGAATTTCTTGGTGGCACCAAAAAATAAAGGGACTTTGCCTTACCTCAAAAGTGTGCTAAAAAGACAAATTTGCTAATGGAGATTTTTTTTTTGCCACCATAAAATTGCATAGAATCCCATGAAGAATATGTTGCAGATCCAGGGTCAACCTGACTGAATATTTAACCTCGGTCATGGGAACGAGCACAGCTGACGCCATCACTGTTGTCCAGTCACTGCTATTTACAGCTTTGATCGTCGTTCTCACCGTCTCTCAGACAAGAAGACCCTCACCTGAAAGTCATGAAGCGCCTTGTGTGTCTATTTCTGATCATCATGGTGTCAGAGGTGGTGGTGGAAGGCCTGTCCATCCAAGGTATGGATTAACACCATACAACAGACTTTAAAAAAACTTTACAGAACCACAAATATGTACCATATGTTACACACATATTTGGACCAGAAGACAGAATTTCTTTTTTTTTTCTTTTTCTGATAGGATTTTTGTTTGGATGAGGAATTTTATATGAAAATTCAATTCAGGACGTTATTTTATGACAACTTGTATGGCTATATTTCACAAGGAGGAATGATTTGAACTTACACCATAGCATTATATTCCAAAACGTGTTCAATTCCAAATCATGATTTGGGATAAAACGAAGTTGAATGCACCTGCATTTCAGAACGTGTTCCATTTTAAAACATCATTTGGAATAACACGAAGTGCCTGCTGCATTCCAAAACGTTAAACGTGATCTATTCCAGAACATGATTTTTCGTTAATTATCATCTGTCTGGGGGCGAAGCCTGTCAGTGCTGTTGTATTTGTGCCTTACAGGGAGGAATGATCTGGACCCGTGTGTCCTACACGGGGAGGGTTACTGTCAGTACCGGTGTCGTCAGCAGCAGCTCAGCGGCTTCTGTAACGAGGAAAACCGCTGCATCTGCTACTACGACCCCAACAACTTCTTCTGAAAGAGTAAGAGAATTCCCGTGTCTTGTTTTCTTCAATATGGCACTCTACATGTACGTGGTGTGCGGGGGATAGTATAATGAGCACATTTGTCAGAATTTTTACACACGACCCCCTCTTGTTCAACATACCTTTCGTTTCAGCTTATTTTTACACAATCATGCTATTAAAAAGTTCAGATTAACTCTTATGCCCCTTGGTTAATACTCAACTCAGATTAATTTCATTGCCTTACAGCAGGATAGCAGGTGATGTGTGGAGGCGCCGCCTAGCGGTTGACCAACGAAGTTCACCCTGTCTCCCAAAGGGTTTTCTGATTCCACACAGGAAAAATAAACAATCCATGCAGAAATAGATGGTACATTTTTGTCTCGGTATCTATTTCTTGTCAGTCTTGAATATTGAGTACACAGCTTCCTTGTTTATGTTGAGTTATTTCAAAGAATCATTGCATTCATTATTCAATTTTTTTTTCAACATGACTTTAGCCTGAGTTATAGCGAACTATAGCTTTCGTATTTTGTTATCCTCACTTGAAGTTAAGTGTGGCACTTTTTGACTCCATTTAAAACTTAACGCCACAACAAACAATATAAAAAAGCGCCAACTATAAACATATTCACAAATATTACTATTGAATTACAAAAGCAGTGCTATGTTTGGCGTATTTTGTATTACTGGTAAATCATTCGTTAACACAGTTTATACTCAGATGACAGCATTTAACTACAGCGTGACGCTAGGCTGTATTGTTCACACTGCAGAAGCGACACCTAGCTTCTGCATTGCGAAGTGCATTCAGTATTGCCCTGAGTGTGGGGTGAATGACCGGATGATATGACTGGTTAGATTACTCATCAGGGGATGTTTAACAATAAGATAGTAGTTTAGTCTTCTCAAACTGGATGGATGTTTAACAAGAGTTCCACGATCTCATACCTTCGCCAAATGGTGTTAACCCTTCCGGTTGACGAATTATACAATTTTGATAATTGATTTCGCAAATAAGAGCGTCATTTGCATGGATTACATCAGTTGATCATATTCTCCACCCAATGGCAGCCTTATCTTAACAAAATAGGCTATTCTAGCACTTCCTAATAAATTATGCAAATGAGGTCATGATGTGAATAAATTATCTTTTTTTTTAATTAATACACATTTTCTATATCTTGTAGTTTTACACCTTTGTAACAGCATGAAGCATAGCATTGTAACAATGTTTAGAATAAATTCCTTAATGAACGTTCAAAATTAAACTGTGTAACAATATCCATACAATTCCTACCATACTTAACCTTAGAAATTGTGCTCTTTCCCAGCAATATTAGTTCATTGATGTATAGAAATTGTTTTACATTAGACAGGTGATATCCAAGAATAACATCTTGAGTGGTTAACGTCAATGAATATCCATATTCGGAGAGAAAACTTTTTTCAACTTCTGCCCATAAAGGTTTAACAAGTGCACAATCAAAAAAGAAATGTTCTATATATTCGACAGAGTCACATACAATACATCTATTGTTTGTTACAATTCGTTGTTTACATAAACTAACTCTTGTTGGATAAATATTGTGTAGAATCTTCCATTGTAATGATCTCAATTTTGGTTCTTTAGTGATTCGAAAAGGTGCTTCCCATATGGACTTCCACGTGTTAATATGGAAATCAAAATGTGGAAGGCGTGACTCCCAGAAACCTTGAGAGATAGATTTTGCTGCTTTTTGTAAAATTATCTTCATTGATGTTCACCTTCACTTAACTTCCAAATGCGGCAAGTATGAAATTCCCAGCAATTACAACTATGAAAATATAACAATTTTCCATTAATTATGCAAACGCTCCTGCAGTTCCAGAACAAGCAGCTAGGGGGCCTAAACTCATGTCACTTCTTCCCTACCCCAAGAGGTATCTACCAATCAAAATTCGTGACCCTAGCATGTACAGATCGCGAGATATCAAAACCGGAAGTTCTGCTGCAGTACCAGCAAAAGCCGCCAGGGGGGCCAAAATCTAATCATTTCTAGGTCTCATCAAGACCTACCCACATACCATGTTTCATAACAATCCATACTAAGCTTCTTGAGTTATGCTGTTCACAAACAGACAGACAAACAAACAGACAGACAAACGCTACTGAAAACATAACCTTCTTGGCGAAGGTAATCAGTAAACGTTTCGGGTGTACATCCGACACCTTTCATCAGTACAAGTGAATGTTTACTCTCTTCTCAGATCGACCTGTGTCAAACACTAGGTCGGAATTAGGGCACCCCTGTTGCGATAGAACGTTCCACCGGCAAAATGACCAAAAACCTGCCGTGCGTTTCGCGAACCATTACGATTGCGTGCAAGGCGCTACACTCAAGTGAAATACACAGCTGTACAGCTTTAATCGTTGTGATATTTATCTGTCAATATTATAGCTCATGTTGTGCTGGGTTTTGGTCAGATAAGAGTATTACCAACGGTATGTGTGTTTGCATGAACGTTACGGGATTATACTTGTAATATGGACAATAAAATTGAATAGAATTCACATTTTCAAAATTTTCCACTATACACACATGCATGTTTTTCAGTTACTTTATATACCATAAAATTTACATAAAGGTCACATTTGTACACCTGATAGTTTACGTAAGGCAACGTTATATGCCGTTCAAATTGAAAGGATTGTCGCTGTGGGCTATCGTACAAATGGAACCCGAGTAGTGCGCAGTTACATTGTACATTGGCGGAAGGTCAAAGTACAAAGAACCTGCCATGTAGTCGTCTTAGCTGAGTCACTAAACACTTCAAAACAGCGCCACTTGGAGTTTTTCAACATGGAGGACGTTGGGTTGAGACTTGCAGTGTTGTGTGTGGTTGTTGTTCTGTGTTCCGCGCACCCCACCAAGTATCCGGAAGTGAACTTGGACGTGTACCGAGCCAAGGACACCCCTCCCCCCTTCCTGTCCTACCACATCCACTGCATGTTTGTAGCCTACAACAATGACAGTGTCTTCGCCGCCCTGAAACTGTTTGACAGATTCATTGAACACTTTAACCTGACCCACACCAGACCGTGTGAGGGACTGTATCACCAGGGCAGGCTGTGTGCGTTCGGTAAGTAACATTTGGAGTAAATGATTATGGGTGAATGACCTGTATATGGGGGGAGGGAGATTAAAACAAGTGTATGTGCGTGTGCTGGTTTGTGTGTGGGTTGGGAGGAGGGGGGTGCCCGATAAAAACAGGTGTGTGTGCGTGTGGGGGGGAGAGGGGGTGTGACAATAACAGGTACTAGGTGGGTGTTGGTGTGTGTGTGTGTATGTATATAACGTTATATGTATGTTACCGTGCCGTGTGTGAGTGGGGG